GGTGGGGCCTGGGACCCTGCCTAACCTGCAGTCGGTCCCTAGACTCTGCCTAACTTACGATGGGTCTCTGAACCCCGTCTAACCTACGCCAGGCTCCCCAGCCGCGGGCGCGGGGCCTGCGGCATCCCCCACACCCTGACTGACCGGTCCGCACGCTGCAGCATCTGCTGCTGCTGGGTAGTGGCAGAGGGCGTGGCGGGCTCCACGGCCAGGTAGGCGGAGCTGACGACGCAGCCGGCCGTGTTCTCAGCCAGCATGGTGTAATGACCCGTATCCTGCGGCTTCACGTCCTTCAGCGCCAGCGTCACCACCGAGTCCTGCTGCGAGATGGCGGCGCGCGGGCTCGGCCGCACGCGCGCGCCGTTCTTGAACCAGGTGATCTTGGGCGCCGGGTTGCCGACCAGGCGCGCCACGAAGGTCGCGTCGCCGCCCTCTGTGACCTTGCTGGCGCGCGGCTTGGCCTGCAGCTGCGGCGGGCTGACGGGGCCGGGCCGGCGGACCTCGGTCTGCGTCACCACGTCCGTCTCGCCGCGGTCGCGCCGGGTCAGCGCCTCGCGGAACTCCGACTCGCGGATCAGACGGTACTCGAACGTGTCCACGCGGAACTCCTGCGGAGGCGAGCACGTCCGCGTCAGCTGATATCGGGGCGAACGCAATGAACGCAGGGCATGGCACGGGCTGGGAAACTATTTGCCTATTGCATCGCTTAGTTCCGTCTGGATGGCCGATGCAGCCGTATCGGAACTTAACTGCGAAGAACTGCGCAAGGTTTGGTATCTGAGCATTCGCATCGGAAACTAACTTGCGTAAAGTCGGATTCTTGGATTTCACTCCACTACGAACTACGAACGATACAGGGAATTAACTAACATTCTATGACAACCCAGACCAGCAAGGTTGCTATCCCGCAGCTAAATGTGGTCAACAGTATGCGGAATTGTGCTTTCATGCCAAGGAAAAGATGTGAACTTCGTGGATCTGAAGTGTGTTGTGAGCCCTTGGTGAAATGGCACACCGATTGCCGTAAATTGAAAAATATATCGGTAACCTGACCTTGATCAAGCTTTCAAAACATTTCGGTCGCTGAAAGCAAGCAACTTAATCACGCTCAAATCTTTTTCGGTATCAAAAATAATTTACCTTTGAATGCTGAACTGATAGAGGTCACCCACTCAAAAATATTCAACCTTAAGTAATTCTTCCAACACCATGTGAGAGGGAGCATAAGGTTATACAATAAATTCCATATTTCAACATCAGCTGTAGTCAGCGATCACAATGTTGCTCGTAATATTGTCCCTGGCAAGAAACACTTCTATGCTATTTCCTGTACTTTAATTTGCAGTTTGTCTACGAGGCTAAATTATTTACAACTGAAGAGCAAGTTGCTGCAAGGGGCATCATTTCAAGTTATGATGACACAATGATGCGCATTAGACCATGTAGCGTGTATCAAATTCAACCTGAAGAGGCACGTCCTCTGTCCATGTAGTAATGTGCTCATCCCATCTGGGCTACCCTTCGTTAAGAGCTAGCCTCTTTTTAAACTTTGTATAAATTTCTATCTATGCCACCTCACTCGGCAAATGGGTGCAAGGAGCGTGACGAATGCAAACCTTATCACAATCATGGAGTGCCGTGTTTTCAGAAATGAGCGGCAGCAAGGCCTTGTACGAGAATGTGAATACGCAGTTATGATTCCAAGACTTGGCAGATTCCAAGACCAAGACACCTGCATGCTGTGGAGACATATCCAGAGAACACCAGCAAATGTTCGTAAGCCTCACATACTCTAGAATCACATTTGTATCCTTCTCGCACCACCATCCAATCAGCACCAACCACATGTGTTCCACCCCGAGACTGCAGCGATCCCGTCCTCCCCCCCGCCCCCCCCCCCCCCTCCGCCTGTCTCGGTCCCCGGGCCTGAGGCCGTCTGCAGTCGCCCCGGTCTGCTCACCTCCACAGCTCCGAACGGCGTGGTTTTGTACTGGCGGTCCGTCTTGGTGGTGGTGGTGGTGTGCCCCGAGGCGTCCGTCATCGAGGTGGTTTCCTGGCGCATCTGCATGCTGTGCTGCTGGCCCATCATGCGGTGCTGGCCACCCGGCAGCTGCCGCTGCAGCTGTCCCTGCTGCTGCAGCTGCACCTGTCCCTGCTGCTGCTGCACCTGTCCCTGCTGCTGCTGCTGCTGCAGGAATGCCGCTGTTGGGGGGCGGACCGGGCGGTTAGGGAGCAGAGTTAGAGTCTCCGACTGAAAGCCGCATAACGATAGCATGCAACGTCCATTCACAGAAGGCACACAACAACGATATGTATCTGAAACTTAACCAGGATTCGCAGTCAACTTTACAATGTTCCAGAGTATAATTACCAGTGAGATCTGCCCCTGTGAGAGCGTATGACGCTTGTTCCAACTTGTTCTTCCCCACGTGCCATTACCTCCCTTCCCCTCTTTGCATCGGTCCCTCAGCCCCTGCCATCCCCTGTCTGGCCGGCTCCTGGCGGCGCCCTCACCCTCCGGCTGGATGTAGACGGTGCAGACGGCCTCGCCGTACTGGTTGGTGGCCATGCAGGTGTACTCGCCCTCGTCGCCCGGCCCGATGCGGTTGATCAGCAGGCTGACGTCACCCGTCAGCTGGTTGTGTTTCAGCTGGTACTTGAAGGACGCTGCCGGACAGAGGTCTCAGATAAGGCCCGAAAGGGTGCTTTTAATGCTGGCATTTTCTCCACGTTCTTCGAAGCAGACACTCCGGTAGTGGACAATAACAGTGTCCTCCATTTGGTGGAGGAGAGGAGATGCTGTTTCAGAGCTGTTTTGGTGAGCGTGTCGTTGGTTTGGGCTCTGAGACCTGGCACTTTGACAGCGAACCAACAAATAGTGATTGTTTTTGATGGTTCTAAAACCGAGGCAGGCGACTGTGCAGTGACTATGGGCTTCTCGACTCGTATCCGTCCAAAAAAGTACACTGCATGCATGTTTGACCATTGCAAATTTGACGTATGGTTTGTTATCGTGTTATTATCCAGTGTTTACAGGCATTATTTTTGAAAACAGTGGCAAAAGCCGAAGCGTGAGTACGACAATTGCTACTGCCTTTTGACAAATCGCCAACGCATGCCAGATAAACCTGCACCCCGCCACACAAAACCTCATTCGCGTGACGGTATAGGAAAATAAATACAATATCCATTTACGAAACTGCGAGAAGTGCGCAACATCAAGGCCGATCGGGGGCCGCTGCCTTGGCGACGTGACCCGTGTGACCCCCCCATGGGTGGTATCGCCTTCCCCGCCGGCCGGGCGGCCCAGGTGGCGGCCTTGTTTGGAGCGGGACCGGCGGCGGATCAGCCGCTCCCGCCGGCCCAACCCAAACGGCCGAGCAGATGCGGCTGTCGTGTTTACGGCCCGGTCAGAGGCCGCCCGCCAGCCGGTGGTTGGCAGCCGGAGCGGCCCACCTGGACCAGACGCCGCTTCACACGCCCGGCCGCCGGCCGGCGGCCGACCCGCGCTGCGGGACCCGACCACCGCGGAACAATGGGCCGCACCGGGCCCCGCCCACTGCAGAGCAGTGCGCTGCACAGGGACCCGCCCACCACAGAACAATGCGCCGCACCGGGACCCATCTCACCGCAGAACAATACACCGCACCGGGACCCATCCCACCGCAGAACAATACACCGCACCGGGACCCATCTCACCGCAGAACAATACACCGCACCGGGACCCATCTTACCGCAGAAAAATACACCGCACCGGGACCCATCTCACCGCAGAACAATACACCGCACCGGGACCCATCTCACCGCAGAACAATACACCGCACCGGGACCCATCTCACCGCAGAACAATACACCGCACCGGGACCCATCTCACCGCAGAACAATACACCGCACCGGGACCCATCTCACCGCAGAACAATACACCGCACCGGGACCCATCTCACCGCAGAACAATACACCGCACCGGGACCCATCTCACCGCAGAACAATACACCGCACCGGGCCCCGCCCACTGCAGAACAGTGCGCCGCACAGGGACCCCGCCCACCGCAGAACAATACACCGCACCGGGATCTCGCCCACCGCAGAACAATGCGCCACGATTCTGTGGCATGCCGGCGGCGGTGCGAGCTGACGCATTGTTCTTAGCATGACTTCAGCCACTCGTAGTCGTACTAGTGAGAGTTTAGTGAACACGGCTCCTGTGTTGGTAATTTGGCTTTCCTGTTTAAGGCAGATAACATGTCAACAACGTGTTTGTTGGCCTAAGTTCGCATTCAACAAAATTTTGCCTCTACTTCACGTCACTTGATACTCAAACAGCCGCCCACCGACCATTAAAAATACTTAAGGATTGAAGCAAGTCATAAATGATTCTTGTAAATGTGGTTCCTCGGTCATGTCATGATTTTAGTGACTAATGATATCATTAGTTGAACTGCAAGTTAGTGGAATCTGGAGCAAAGTTCGTAGGCTTTTTATGCTGATTATCAGATGCAAAACCTCATATCAAGAGCACAACTACAGCACCCCAACAACTCGGCCGCACGCATTAGTGCGTTTAACCTAATTAACATAATTCGAATCAAAATTCAGATCTCTCCCACATTGAGGGAATCATACGCTAATTCAAACGCATTACTTCCCATCTACCTTCAAACAATAATTAGCTCAAAACCGCGACTGGCTGCTGCTTACAAAGTAGAGTGTTTACAGGCACTTTATGCGATGTTGAGAGAAATGCGGATACCGTTAAAGTTGTTTTATTTTTTTGGCTGTTTGTTTTAACTAACCGTGCTGCTTTTAGCACGAATGGTGGCCACTATCTGTATCCCATATATCACACTCATCAAACGTTGCCGCACAATGGTGTAGCCACATATTCACATGGACGGTTCTGTACAGCTGTTTGAGGATACAGATAGTACCGGTAACCTTTTTGTTTGTGTTCTGGTGATAAATTACCATTTTGCAACCTTCTTTCTGTTTTTCTATTATTCTGAATCGTCCTATGCTGATCACTTACAATTCCGCCGGTTACTAAAACAATCACCATTCATCTGCCATGCAAGCAAACAGGCATTGTTTACACGGCCCACTATCTTCGATAGCTTCATGGTAAACAGCTTAATCGCTTTCATAAAATCCTTACATCCAGTGACAGATCCAAAGGGAAGGGAAAGGTGGAGGCACAGGCCTTGTCCCTTTTTCTTCTATGGAAGACCCTTTAGGAATCCCAAGCGACCTATAACCGGCTGAACGGAAGCAAGTTTTAGCACAAAAGGCAAAATTGGACAACGGCCAGGAAGTGAAAAAATAAAGAGCCAATGAGCAGACAACAATAAATCCTCAGTGATCAAGCGGGTGGTCGTTAGAGAGGAACTAAGGCTGACTATGCTGTTCCGAGGTCCCGCGCTGTTACCGGGGACATTACATGTCTACTTAAGCGGGACACCACGATCGCTAAAGAGCCTTCCACGTTGTCGTTGATTTCCTTTAGTTTCTCGGAGAGCCCTACGCTGTTGTTGGGGACCATACATGCTGACCTACCGAGAACACTCTTGATCGATCAGAGTTCCGCCGTACTTGGCTACTTTCTATTTCCTCGGAGGACCCTACGCTGTTGTGGGGCATCCTCCATGTTCATCTACCAAGGCACACCCATCGTTAAGGTGCCCACCACATTGATCTTGGGTTCATTTCGTTTCATTGAAGGATCCCACGCTGTTAACAGGAACCCTTTTGTTGACCTGCCGGAGCACCCTTGATCACTCAGGTGTCTTCAGCATTGGTCTTGGGTCTCCCATATCCACAGGGAGCCTACACTGCTAGTGAGGGCTCTACATGCTAATCGACTGGGACACTCTTAATGACCCCGGGCCTTCCACATCGGTGTTGAGCTCTTGCCAGGAGGTCAAAGGAACATCACACTATTGCCGAATGTCTTTTGCCGCTGATGGTGTCACGCCTCCTCAGATGTACGTGCTTGCATCAAGGGATTAATGAATACCTTTCCGAGATCTACAGGATGGTGATCTTTCTTGGCGTCTCAGCTGCAGATAGTATTAGTCACTTACGCTCCGAATAAGGTTGCCTCGGTTTTCGAGTACTTGCCTAAGATCATTTGCTGTGCCGGTGACGTTGTATGTTTCATTTTCCTTGTTAAATATGAGACACCAGCTTTACTTGTGCATCACGTTCTTAACATATATAAGACGCTAACATATTTCATAGTCCTTCATTATAGTCCAAAGAAAACAACTCTGCATTCGTCATCAGCCATCAGCAGATCCCAACATCGACTAGCCGGACTGGATGATGAACGCACTCTATGTGTGCACCTACATACCACGTCTACGCCAAAATGTCATGCCTATGCCTATATATGACGCAAATTTTCCTCTAGGGCTGCGCAAAAAAAGATGGTTTCCTGTAAAAAAACATGAGAGTCAATTTGAATAGCGAAAATACGTTGATTTTTTAGGGGAGGGCACCCAGCCTTCACGTATTTCCGGATCCACCACTGCATATTGCGTAAAAAGCTTAAAATAACACAAAGTCATCAGAATCGGAGCCACAAACGGTGGTGGCAAGGCCAATCAGCAAGGAAATGAGCATAGTACATTTAGAACTGTAAAACAGAACCTGAAATGGTATGAACTGCCATTTCCAAAACATAACGAAAAGACATCAGACAAATAGTTGCATGTGCCATGTCTATGCATGCCTACGATCAGACAAACTCCATAACATGACAATTTACATGACAGCGTTATGTTAAATGTATAACCTCTTTATTCTTGTAATCGGCTTTCGTGGCTAGCATTACGTTCATGAGTTTCCTGGGTTTCATGGGTTTCGAAGCTTTCATGGACTCTAAGCAATACATACATTGTGGAGCGAATGAGCAGCCGTTTGGAAACAGGGGAGACAAACAGTGGTGGGTAGATCAGTGGATTTATATGCCGCTAGATGTATTTCACTGACTACCGTCTGTCTGTTAGACGAGGGATATCGCGCATACAACGGCACCTGCCGTAATCCATAAAATTAGCGTTTGCTGTGAGTTACAGGGACTTCTAATAAGAACAGCAGGGAATGATAACGCGAGACTGCGGCAAAAGCCTGACAAGCTGCGATGCATGTGCCGGGCGACACCAGCCGGCCGACGCCGGCGGCACGAGGCTGTGCCGCAAGACACGCGAGCCGTGCGGTACAGTGGACTTTGCAGTGAAAACTCGCGCTGCTGTAGCTTAGCATCCGAACATTTTCCGAAGCATTTATTTGAAGCCGATTACTTCACGTGCACATTTCCGATCGCCAATTTTGGACCTTTAAAAATTTGGTTTAAAAAGTCGCATATATTAAGCTTGATTGCTGCCGATGTTTTTAGGTAGAGTTACGTTAGAATGGAGTGAATTAAATCCGGTTCAGCAAAGCTGAGAAAGGCTTGGTTAGGTTTAGTTAGGTTAGGTAGGGTGATTGGTGATGCCGACCTATGCATGCGACTTCTTGTCGCACGAGCATAGTTTTGATGGCACAAGAAGACGGATGTAAAGTTGCCAAAAGCACGCAATGGAATATCTGTTAACATTAGGTCATACTGCATACAAGACCGCCCTCCTCGAACATATGCTTAAAACGCGAAGGTATAGCACAGTCCCATTGGAACGGTGCTTACCTTAAAAAGCGGTTCCAGTTAACAGCGATGTAGAAATATGCGTTTGCCTTCCGACAGCATTTTCATCGAGCGTCCTCAGGCAGTTTGATGCTTGTTTAATAGACAACGCAGCCGAAGCCCACGTACATTCGGGTAACAGCGTAGACTCACCTTGAATGGGGCGACCCTGGCGTGTCCATGATATGTTGGGCTTTGGGTTACCGCGCACCTTGCCCTCGAACAGAGCGTTGCCGCCCTGAGCGAAGCGGGCATTTTGGAAGATCTGTTCGAAAACAGGCGGAGACGCTCCACCGCCGACCCTGAAACAGACGTGTTCATCAACTCAGACGCCAAAGGCAGAGGCGTGCGTCAACTAAGATGTCAGAGGCGGAGACGCGCGTCAGCTCAGACGTCAGAGGCGGAGGCGCGCGTCAACTCAGGCGGCAGAGACGGAGGCGCGCGTCAGCTCAGACGTCAGAGACGGAGACGCGCGTCAGCTCAGACGTCAGAGACGGAGACGCGCGTCAGCTCAGACGTCAGAGACGGAGACGCGCGTCAGCTCAGACGTCAGAGGCGGAGACGCGCGTCAGCTCAGACGTCAGAGGCGGAGACGCGCGTCATCTCAGACGTCAGAGGCGGAGGCGCGCGTCAGCTCAGACGTCAGAGGCGGAGACGCGCGTCAGCTCAGACGTCAGAGGCAGAGGCGCGCGTCAGCTCAGACGTCAGAGGCGGAGACGCGCGTCAGCTCAGACGTCAGAGGCAGAGGCGCGCGTCAGCTCAGACGTCAGAGACAGAGGCGCGCTTCAGCTCAGACGTCAGAGACAGAGGCGCGCTTCAGCTCAGACGTCAGAGGCGGAGACGCGCGTCGGCTCAGACGTCAGAGGCAGAGGCGCGCGTCAGCTAAGATGTCAGGGGCAGAGGCCGCGCGTCAGATGCATAGTTGACGCCATTCCGGCTATTCTGAACGTCTCAGGGCGTCGTGGCAGCACCCAAATCAGAAGAAAAGACTATGTATGCCACGTGGGGGAATTAACTGCATAACAGATGTGACATACACGCTAACCTGAATCCGCTGATTTGCGGTATCCGCACAGCTCTGGAGCTTTTGCCTTAGCATTACAAATGATTTTTTGGCTAAGCATTGTCCACTCATGACCATAAGCATAGCTTGAAGCGTTGAGGTTTGACGCCATAACTAATGTTTGCTACATAACGTCGTTTAAAAGGTACCTTTTGGTGTATGAAACGTCGATAATTGTCAAAATAAGAACCCTGAACTAGTAATGATCAGAAACCCGGAGCCGGGGCCCTTCTGGCGTATGTGAAGAAACTCCAAATGCTGCTTTGTTGCACACAACAATTTAAAATTAAGGAGAAAGATGCATTGTCTGACGTAAAATGAAGATCACGATATCAGAGACGAGCATGGTCGTGATGTTAACACGCGCCCGGGTGGCCGGTTAAATACCCTCCGCTCGGGTGGGCGTCAATTTGACCCCCCTGAGATCTCAGGAACTAAGAGAGCTAGAGACACCAAATTCACAGAATGTGTTGAACTGCACGTGAACTCACTTAGGTTACAGTTCGAGGTTCCTAGATCATGACCTTCGGGTCAAATAAGGTAAAACAAGGTCAAATTCCAGATTGGTCTCCAAAGGGCTCCAAGAACCTAGATAGCTGTCCTAAGCAAAAGGTCACATGTTTATTTAAGGTCAGTGACCTTGCTGACCTTTTGAAGTTTATGGTAACCAAAAGCATACAAGACCCTCTTGAGTTTAGCATTTGGATAAGTGACAAAGATTACGCTAGGCAGTATGTTCCTAAAAACAGAGTGTGGACCTGAGTTATTCCCGGTCAGTGACCTATTCTGAACTTTAAGAAGTCTATGGAAGGTGTATAATGCAGTTCCTGTTAGCAATAAATTCAAAATGAGCGCCAGGAAGTACTCCATACAGCGAGCGCTTCAGTAATAAGACAGGTTGATGTTAACCTTGATCTGACCTACATGCCTGACCTTTGGTCGATGTAATTTGTTCATTCAATTTCCGTGTTGGCTAAGGAATTATCTCAGAGATGTATGGCTTCGTCTAACGCTCCGTTGTTGGATCAGATTGAACGATTCCCTTGAAATCGCCTTCGCTGAAATCATAGACTGACTGACCTGCCATAGGTCAGCGACCTTACAAGGTAAACATAATTTTCTAATACCGGACAATCCGCTATTTAATTGTCTACACCAATGCAAAATTTGGCGTGATCACACCATGCCGTTCAGAAACTATTCCGGAAAAGCCGTCGGGGTGGGGGGGGGGGGTCAATTTGACACCGCACCCGAGCGCTTGTTAAAAAAGGTAACAGAGATACGAGTACAAGTACTAGTATGGACATGATGTTCATAATCCGTAAGTAATTACAAACAGACGCCCTTGGGAAGGCATGCACCTTTGAGACTCATCAGCGAGTGGAAACGCACGCTTTTCTGAGAGTTTAGCAGGCAAAGAGGTTCACTGATGGCGCATGCGATGAGGAGGTTCATCTGCTATTTCATAGATCACGTTCCATAAAACTGGTTGGCTGTGGCCTGACAAGGCCTGGCCGTCTCTCTCAGAGAATTGATACACTTCGAGCAATGAGGGATTGAGTCTTTGACCTTCAGTGATTGTGACCACCGAGGTATTGGGAAATTGTTGTCATACACCTTCGTGAATTTTTGTTGGTTTCGTCTCGCTCACTTCAGGCTCCAGTACTTCGCATCCGACACCATTTTTTTCAGGGCCGCCTTGGCCGCCTGTCATAAATTACTGACGTCTCTATTTTAGACCGAGTAGCGTGCACTGGCTGGACGATGCGTAAAGGCGGGACTCCTACACTGTGAAAGTAAGCTTGAAGCCGGTACCCACTCTGGTTGCCGATATCTGGCATTCACCCCCCCCCCCCAAAAAAAAACTATGCCAGGTGATTCATAGTTTCCACTGGAGGGCGCATGACATACTGCAGACAGTGATTTAATTTGTGCTGATACAGTTGTTCGCTCTCCCGCTAAAATTGTACTGATTGGTCGCTGAAACCACAGGCTGCCACTGTATCTAACGGCTAATACCGATTCCTTTCGTTGTTGTGCAGCTTTTCGAAACTTGCGAGTTTTACGTTTCTGAAGTAAATGCATGAACAAAGACAGGGGTCATTTTGAAATGCTGCAGCAAATTGATCCTTGGCCACATGGCTTTGCGTGCACATGGCTTCAAAAATAACAGCACAGCTTTAAATAAGCATTACAAATGTGCGAAGCACGCCTGCCACCTCACGAGCTACCGACACACGCACGCAGAGGAACACAGAGACCCCACCAAGCTGGCGGCGGGCGGAATTGGTGGGGTCGGCCAGTCACGACAGGGACTCGCTTATTGGGTGACGCGTGCGGGCACACTGCGAGGAGGACGCTTGTCTAGAGGTGCGGCATGTGCGGACGCTGCTGAGCACGTGTGACGGCGGTCTCAGCTGCGGCCGCGTGTGTATCCTAGTGGTGACGCCTCGCGCAGGTCGTAGTGCGCTGTCGGCAAACAGAACGTACGGATCTGTGCTGCTCAGGAATGATTCGGGCGTGTTTTGGTGATGAAGAGAAGCAGTCGTCTCTGGACTCGGGTGTGTTGTGGTGATATAGAGACGCAGTCCTCTCCGGACTCGGGTGTGTTGTGGCGATGAAGAGAAGTCTCCTCCGGATTCGGGTGTGGTGTGGTGATGAATAGAAGCAGTCTCCTCCGGATTCAGGTGTGTTGTGATGATGAAGAGAAGTCTCCTCCGGATTCGGGTGTGTTATGGTGATGAAGAGAAGCAGTCTCCTACGGATTCGGGTGTGTTGTGGTGATGAAAAAGGGCAGTCTCCTACGGATTCGGGTGTGTTGTGGTGATGACGAGGGGCAGTCTCCTCCGGATTCGGGTGTGTTGTGGTGATGAAAAATGGCAGTCTCCTACGGATTCGGGTGTGTTGTGGCGATGAAGAGAAGCAGTCTCCTCCGGACTCGGGCGTGTTATGGTGATGAAGAGAAGCAGTCTCCTACGGATTCGGGTGTGTTGTGGTGATGAAGAGAAGCAGTCTCCTCCAGATTCGGATGTGTTGTGGTGATGAAGAGAAGCAGTCTCCTCCGGACTCGGGCGTGTTATGGTGATGAAGAGAAGCAGTCTCCTCCGAACTCGGGCGTGGTATGGCGATGAAGAGAAGCAATCTCCTCCGGACTCGGGCGTGGTATGGCGATGAAGAGAAGCAGCCTCCTCCGGATTCGGGCGTGTTGTGGTGATGAAGAGAAGCAATCTCCTCCGGATTCGGATGTGTTGTGGTGATGAAGAGAAGCAGTTTCCTCCGGATTCGCCACGGAACATACTTACAAAGCCTGCGTCCGTTGACGTCTTCAACGGTAATAAGGACCAAAATAACCAAAAACACGCCAGTTTGCCACAGACTCGTGCAGCATGCTGCTAAAAATTCCATGACAGTTCGACCAGTGGTTGCAAGGATGTAAGTCTGTCATAAGAGTGGCTGGGCCGAGCAAAGCCACTACAGCTTCAGTTTTCGGTCAGTTGGCGTTGAAGGCATCAGTCATACTAAAATATCTTATTTTACCTCCATATGCAATACGAGAAATGCAATTCTGGAACTACATTTTTTTTCCAAACAAAATTATGCAGAACAGCGATCATGTAACGCCTCTGCACCTTTTCTATTCAGCTGACGACGTTGTGACATCGTAGCTTGCGGTACTACGGCATTTTTTAGTGCATGTGTACTCATCCCTTAAAGAGTCAGCCAATGTTAAAAAACAGAGCTTCAGAAGCAGAAAAATGAGGCTCAAAGACCAAGTTTTGAGGGGCAGATGCCTGATACTTAGGAGAACACAGATAGAACTAAGGCGTAAATACCCGAGACGTGACGACCTAGTCCTGAGCGATAAAACACAGGCGTGAGGTGTAAACGCCGAGCTACTGGTAAATGGGCACATGCCATATAGGCCAGGATGCAATGCTGATAAGATGTCAAGATAAGAAAACAAAAACTCGGTAGGGCTAATCCTCTAAAGGCAAGCTTGGCTCCGGCCCCACCGCAACACTGGCGTTTGAGGGAGTTATGTCTTGCGTGGTTTGCACTGCAGGAAATGCTGGCATGTGGCGAAGCATGTTTGAGGCAGTTCAACTTCTTTTAACTTCTTAAATCATCAATCCTGGTAACAACTAATGAACGAAGAAAGTAACAGTCTTATGAAAAAAATCCTTATTATCAAGTGCGCGTTCGAATTCCAGCGTGCACACAGTAAGCGTAGCTCACAGTGACATGAATGGAACAGTTGTGATCACTTAGTAATAATGAAAATGGGCCTGCGCCATACGGCTGTGATGTACTGGCAACACGACTGCACTAATGATTGTTGTTGACTCTGGCATGGTATCCCGTAATCGGCGTGCGGTTGACCGGTTGTGCGTCTTCTGGGACGGAATGAGATGGGTGGGCTAATAGATAAAAATACAAATAAGTGCACCTCTCGTGTTCCGGGGAAAATGATGTGTGCGCATTCCAACGGCACTGAGTATGAATCCCAGAACGGAATTATTATTTAGTCCGGCTGAATGAGAAGATCAGCTGAAAATCGACCAAATTAAGCTGACTTGCAGCGGCTATCGCACAACACTACGCGTAGAACCATTTTCAGTTCTGTCCGGCAAAACCCCGAAGGCAGGAATGCTAAATGAACTGGGTCAGGTCAAGTTGGCTGGTGGATTCTCCGTGCGCGTAGCAAATTCTGGGCGGCAAATACTCTTAACCCAAAGCCAGCCATGGAAACAATTCGGAATGAGCGTATCAAAAATCGTCCACGTTCCAGGATATCTCCGGCTCCATACAGAGAAACCAAACCATCCTTGTGCGGTTGCCGCGTGGTAAAATGGAGGGGAAGGGGCTGGTGACGCCGGGGTGGCCACGAGACCGGCACATGGATGAGAACCACAGCCTGCTCCCAGTAAAGCGAGGCCCACCGAGAATAACGGGTGGGGCGAATGAGTGAATGTGCGGTGATAAGGACCAGGGGAGGGTGATTCCGAAGCGAGGTAATTCCGTACCCAGCCCGCCCTGCTCATCACTGTGAGTGCTCTGACCACTGGACATGACGTCGGACTGCAGGCAGGGTGCTGGTGTCTTAAAGTGACGAGGGAAGGCGGCGCCTTAGATGTTCTCTCCCGCTTTCTGTTGCTGTTCTTGATTAGGCCCCGATACTACAGATCGTGCGATGAGTAGTCGTGCTCCAGCGGGCGCAATAAATAGGTTACAAAATTATAAGCACGATCTCATAAGAAAGTAGCGGCACATAGCCACCAGAGCTGAGCATTTGCTAAGCTTACCTACATCCACCATCTGTCATACGTCACTCTGGTTTTGAATACTCATTGGATCAGCCATTCAAATACGTTTCAACCAAATAAGTTGTGCAAAACAAAGTCGAAGAAGTTCGAGGCATGCCCTTCTCGTCCACCATCGCTATATTCTTCTCTACTCGCCCAGAATGCCTGCTTCAACTACGCTTGATCTAGGCCTGCTGAAGATTCCCCTGACTCGCTGCAACTTTATGACGCATCAAAAAGTAAGTATTGTTATCGATGCCGGTTACAAAATAGCATTTCCTGTCTCTTTATTTTTCACACACATCATGCCTTGCCTTGAATTTATTCACACTTTTTATCCGCATTGCGCTCTTCTCCTTCGGCTTCTACTGCACGGCTTACGCTGTTCACACAGCATGCTGGCATTGTCAAGAGCGTTCCGAGTGAAATCAACGGTTACAAGAAACAACAGAAACATGGTACACGTCGCTACTCAAGAGTCGTTTTTAATGCACTAGCTAAGGCAAACACAGTGGCAGCTCTTCTGTGTCACAGCACCAGCGCCGGACGGACGAGACAGGCAGTGCAGTTAGGACAGACATTAGAGAATGCTGACCTACGACTACATCTCGGCAGGCAAAGTCTTGGGGCTGGTTAGCGACGCACACAGACGACAGCGTGCTGACGGGGCGGGCGTGAAGAGAGCAGTTCGAGGGACGGACAGGGGTCAGATGAAGGTCGGGTACGTTTACTCACGGCATGGTTCGCTGTTGCCCAGACGACTGCTGCTGGACTGAAACAGAAGGAGAGAGATGGCGTCAGGCCACTGCAGGGAAGCACGAGGTAGGTGCTGACAAGGGCGACTTCACACCTAATGCAAGGCGTGATTCGAAAACACATAGCACGTGAAAACAACGAGAAAAATAGATGTGAATGAACCGAGGCATTGGCAGGAATTGTTTCGAGCGGTAGAATAGGTCAATTAGGGCTACGCAGCGAATTTGACGTAGCCATCATTTCAGTTTGGCTACTTTTTTGCCCCAAAAAGTAGCGTAAGAGCAGCGTAAAAAACGCTGACGTTTAAGTACATCGAATAGGTCTCCTTGGTTAACCTCACTCAGTCTGGAGGTAACCATGATCGTAAAGATCCATGATCGTATAATCCTGCCCTGAAGAACATGGACACTTTGGTACGTTAAAAATGCGATTTGAACTGGACGCCAGCTTTCAGTGGCGAGCGCTTCCAGTCGGCCAAGAGAGGAATCTTCTGCCAACGGTCTCATAAGAAATGCGATGCACACAAATCATGTCTGAGAGAAAATAATCATCTATGCAGCGTCAACAGGTAGGCGTTAAATGGAATGTGTTGTTACCACATGCACTGTTATGCACCTGAGTCGCGTCGAAGATACTGAATGGACAATATCTTCCATAGCAGCCACAGGCAGGGCCGTGTTTCCTCTGACATTGAGGGTCCAGGCACGAGCGAGGCACCGTGAGTGTAATCTTGTAAATTGGTTTGTGTCTCCCGAATATAACCGCCGTGCAGAACACTTCTCTGGACCTACCAGCCGTTTGTGTGGTCATGTCCACCACAACAGGTAAGAATAAGCATACCTTACGTTTAGTCTTTGCTTATTTTTGACTAAAACACAGTTTTTTCCACCCTCATAAAGGACTAGACGTTAATATGTTGTGAAGCACTAGGGTAAAGGCTAGCAGGAGGTTTGACATGTTAGCAGATACGCCTCTCTTGAGCGGGGTCGTGTAACTACCGCCCAAGCCGCGCCCGGCCAACGGCCATCTCTCGCAGCCTGCCTGCCCCGTGAGCACCTCCCCAGCTGCCGGCGCCGGTGCTGCGGCAGCCCGGCGCGCCGGTCGCCCGTCAGCCGGCCTGAGTCAGCGCTGGCAGGGGCTCGGCCGGCTGCTCAGGCCGCGCGCCCGGCCGCCACCGGCCGGGCAGGGTCGGACCGGCGCCCGGCCGCCGCTGGAGCCGGCACTATTCTTAGCCGCCGCGGCCGGGTTACCTTCCAGAGGATGACACAGCCGGCGCTGACTCACCTGCCCGCGCCCCCGGGCCACCTGATACGGCTGCCAGCGGCCGCGGCCCGCCGCGAGCACGTGCGCACGCGCCACGCACGCCACGGCGCCGACGCACGCGGCGCCGTCGGAGATGAATCGGTGCCCATGTGGTCCCCGCGGGGGCCTGCCCGCTGATGTGGTGCCCCGAGGGAGTCTGAGACAGGCTGTGACGGCGGCGGAGAGCGGGTGCTGTCGGTGGGTGACAGCTAGGGGCCCGCTGAGAAGCGCTCTTGTTTGACTAAAAATTGCAGACACGTTCACTGCGTGTTCTCCGGGGTTCGCGGCCGACACGGCGAGTACCTTAATAGCTTACATGACTCGCTGCGTCGGCCAAAGAGTCGCTATGGACTCACCGCATGACTTAAGGGGGTGATATGGTCTGAACTGTACTGACCCAGGAGTCATTACGGACCCAGTGCATGGGATCAGGAGTCCACGTGACCCGCCGTTCAGGCAGAGTCCCTCGTGGCCTACGGTTCGTGCCTGCCTCTTGTACGCTGGAAAATTATGGTGAATGAAGCAACAAATGAGTTCACATCGACATTGCGCTCAGGAAAGTGTGAGTGTGCTTTGACGATCTGATGGTGGCGACGTCAGGTTTCATCGAAATCGCCGTCTGTTAACATTTTGTCGATGGAACATGCTTCGGCAGTTTTAACACGAGTTTTCTGAGAATTTTTCAACGTGTGGCAAAGTGGTTCTCACTCGTGATGCTGGATACTCAGCAAATCTCTGGTTTTCAATAGTTAGCTACGACTTTTACCAGCGTGATCCAATAACTTCTGCAGTAGCTGAGCGAAGGTACAGAAAAGGGAAGACCACTATGGAAACGGTAAGTAGTTTGAACATGCACTGTAACCCAGCCCCAATTTCCTCATCGGTGCATGCTCTCTTTTGGTAAAACAGCGAGGCGATCAAAACTCACTGCCTAAATGCAATTTCCTGCATGGATAAAAGGTCGTAACAAACTCTTGCCAGCTAGCTGATGGTTTGTGTACAGCGCACCCCTTAAGCCTTAGTGACGAGTCAGTCAGTATTTCATCTTCAGTTGTGAGCTGCTTCAAAATCATCCTTTCTCTCCGCCAAGATTCCGCCAGGGAAATCTATGGAATCATTTCCTTTCCTAAAACTAAGCTTCCATCCACAGCAACCATTCAGAAAATGCTTTCATCGCCAAGTGTACGGGACCAAAGCCGAATTAAGAGACGACAGTAGCCCTGGACAAGAAACTGGTCGCGTTTCTCCAGCAGCCAGAGCTGTCGTCCGATATCTGACCGCCGGAACCCTCCAGGAACTACTAGCATAGCCGCGGACATCGGGACAGATATGCGCCAGCATAAATACTTAGACTCGGGCTGACCGGCCTGATTCAGCAGCCTCCGAAGCATGAGTGAAGGATGTCTAAACAAGCCGGTCTAATGCGTCGTGCTGAGCGCCTCGCATTGTAGGCTTAGTACGCCGTGGCTTGTTCAAAGGCGCGATCGACGCCGTCACCGTCACGCCACATCCTCCACCCACCCTCGGAGACCACCGGCAACTTCCGCTGCCAGGCACGTTGCGCAAGAACAACGAGAGACTCTGCGGTTTGTGTATGTTGGCGGCAAGACTAGCAGCGGCAGCCCAGCGGTGCACGTCGGCCACTTATAAGGCACCCCCGCCGAGCTCCCGCGACCGGCTTCGGAGCAGCTGGAGGACGTGCGGCGCCACGTGGCGGGCCCCGCCTACTCACAGTGTTGGTCCACTTGGTGGGTGGTAGGCTCCAGAGATCTCCAGCCGAGACCGAATCGCGAACGGCCCGCTCAGCGTCCTGCACCGACCCGGCACCGCCACTCGCACCGCACCAAGTGCCGCCTCCCGGCCGGCCACTCGCCTCCCGCTCTCTCCTGACTCATGGATATTTAGAAGGGTGTTGCTTTTATCAGTCATAGCCGCTAAAGATAGCCGACCGGCCTGGAGCCGGCCGGCGCGGCGGCGGCGGTGGCGGCGCGGCGCGGCGGTGGGCGGCGCAGCGGTGCCGGAGGAGCGCCCACTCGCCCCCGCCCTCCTCTGACGTCGACGCCGCGCGCGGCTGCAGCCGAGCAGGCCGCTCGTCAGCTGTCACGTCCCATCAGAGTACACACGGATGCCCGGCACGCGCCATCCAGACCCCCGCCATTGCCGGGCTTCACTCTTCATTAGGTTTATGGTCTCGCCAGGAACCCTCAGGGCTGGTCATGTTCGGTTTATTGGTAATTTGTAGGCATGCGCATAATGATCCTGGCCGAAAAATTGACACGAACGCCACGTTGCTCGTAGGTAGTTGCACTTTAACACGGCAGATCAGGGCATGTTGCAGAAGGCCCACACTCCGCTCAGGGAGTGTGCATCAAAAGACCTCAAGCCGGCTCAAGCCTCGCACGGTCCCCAGCTAGCGCATTCGGTTACCAGTACATAAGATTCAGAGCAATTCTCATGACCTTCTTCCTCGCTGATAGCTGGAGAGAAGGTAAAACAGGTATCTGCTGATTTGTTTGTCACAGACCTTTGTCTAGGCAATAGCAGCCGCTAATGCTAACTAGCCCACGCCCAAGGTCCACGGTTGACATGTTGGGGTAAGAGGGTTACTGTTTCGACAAAGCTTTGTGACCAGTATATCAATAGATCGTTATCTTTCCTTTCTCTTCAACTACCCACGATGGATAAGGATCAGATAAGTCGTCTTGTAATGTTGTGTTCCTCGCCGTTAAAACTCGAATAGTGCTACAGCACGGCAACCGCGCTGAACAGCTTAAGTGAAAGATGAGATGGGTTGACGACGATGTTCCGAGGCTACTTATTGATTGTAAGAAAAGGGAGACTGTGCAGCAGTTTGCTATTCGTTACATTTCTGTTTTTGTAGGAGCCATGCTCGAAACACTGCGGCAACTTTTACAAAAAAAACTACGTTCAACCTCACAGAATTTAAACGTACACATCCCGCTCTAACTAAGTAGAATAAATTTGCACTTGTACTGTTTGCCTGCCCTTGTGGCCCGTACGGGATGTTTGCGAATGTTTGCAACTGAGCCGACCGACTTCTGCTCGGTTCCGACTCGAAATTAGAGCATAATCGTCCTCATGAAGAAGGCAACAGCGTCTGACATTCAGCCTCTACCGCGCTGCCCCAGAGGCGTGTGTAGGTGCTGTGGCGGGGCTTAAACACTTTCTTGGTCGAGGTTAATTGTCCGTTTAACAGCACAGGTTAAAGCATCAAGTTTTGACCATACAACCGATGTTTGCCTATTAAGAGTCCGTCCATCGGTTACGTTACGCATTGAAGATGGACAAAGCGTAAGGGAAGCGTGGCCAGGGAGGGAGGGTAAGGTTTGGGACAGCATAGTGTTACGCTTAGATGGGGCTATACTGATTAAATCTTTAAACACAAATAAGATATTAAAGAAAAATATCATTGGCGTTCTATCATCAAAAGGTACAAGCCTGTTATTTGTTTCGTAGCCTAACTAATTTTTGGGTCAAAAGGAACGTTACTTTACGTAGTGTTACGCTTGTTACAGCGTAACCAGTTGGAGGGGGTCGCCCAGAATAACCAAGGCGCAACCAGGAGAGGAGTCCTGAAAACTGCCAAAAATGGATCACGTAATTCATGGCATAACCTAACGTCCTTTAACCAGCACCCTCCCAGTATTTCATTATTGTCAGCATAGCACCATTAAACTCATAATGCCGAAAACAGTAGGAGTTCAAGGTCTGTCTTGCTTATAGCAAGTGGTCAGACAACCATGGCCTTGAAATTTGCAGTGAGTTCGCGAATATCTGTCGCCACTTTACACCTCGGAGAAGCCAATAGCAAAACAGTTTATCTTCGTAGTCAACAGAGCACCTCCCGAGTTGCTGCACTTTCCGCAGCGGCGGTGACCTTCAGCCACGAGATGCCGGACGCCGATACGACTTCAGGGTTCCGATCAGTACATCCAATGCGTACGCCACCACCACAACGTCGTCAGACAGTAAGCCCCAACAGGCGGTGCTTTTCCAGAGTGCGAGCATGCTGGGATTTAACGTTTTCTGGTAGATGTGGCATTGCCAGCGTGCTGGGACTGAGATCATTTATAGACTGCAAGACTTCACAACAAGAGTTTAAGAAGCTTTTGGTTTTTGAAAGATGCTTTTTCCATTCATTAAGCATGCGCAGCTGAGCTGATAAACTGGTTGTGTAGCTGTAAGATGCACTTGAATATTTCCAACGCAGATGCATTTGTACCTAAAAATGCAATTTTTGGCACGTACAAAATAAGTTTTAAAAGGTTGCTGTCTTGAAATACAAAAAGGAACGAAAGTTCCATATTACAAAGAGCCCCGGTAGCGTCCAGTGTTTCGCGCCATGCTTGTTTTGTTTCATCACATTCCCATGCTTTGGTTACCCTTTGACCGTCCATCGAAAAAGGCATTCGACCTCACAACTGATATCGATACGGTGCATATCACGAGGTACCCTTCCATGCCGATAGCTTGTAATGTTTCAGCGACAGCTTAAGTGCTCGCCGTGGTGTCCTGAATTTGGTTTTTATCACTTACTATTCATTATTCTATGCCAGTGACCACTCACTCCATCCGGGAGAAGTGCCGCAGGGGCTCACGCCTCCGCCCAGCGGTTCTCTTCAGATGAGTCGCGGCGATCGGGAGGAGGCGCTGCCAGGGCCGCTCGGCGGCGAGGAGGGGGGGGGGGGACGAGGCCGTACCTGTCTGCTCTCCGTATCCCAGTCGCTGCTGCTGCTGCAGGCTAAACTGCTGTTGTCCCTGCTGCTGGGCGCTCTCCTGCACCGTCCGACGCTGGCTGACCACCTGCGAGGTGGTGCGCGTGCTGGCCGAGCTCTGCTGCACGCTGCTGCTGACCTGCTGGCGCACCTGCTGGCTGCTGCTGGCCTGCTGGCTCAGCTGGCCGCCGCCCGGCAGCTGCTGCACCGAGTGCGACTGCTGCTGGAACTGGCGCTGCTGGCTGTGCTGGCTCATCTGTCCGCCGGGGATGGCGGTCTCCACCACGCTGGCCGCCTCGCGGCTCTCCTCCTGCGTCTCGCCGCCCGGAATGGCGTACCGCTGCGCCGACTCGCTGTGCGTGCTCTCCTGACGCACCACCTGGCCGCGCGCCGGCTCGTGCTGCACCAGCTGTCGGTCCATGGCTGCGGCCTCTCCGCCTCGTCTGCTGCCGCCTGGCTGTCTCGTTTGGCGCGGCTCGCTGTCGTCTGCTGCGGTCGGCGGTCTGCTGCGACTGCGGACGGTGTGCCGCGTCGAGTGGCGAGCGCCCAGTGTCGGTGGTCTCCTGGCGCGACGCGGCGGGACGCCGCTAACGACCGCAGGGCCGCTGACGGACCGACCGCGGCATGCGCCTCCGACCCGGACCACCGTGACCCGTCGCCGGCGCCAGCCGCGGCGGTCAGCCCCGCACGCCTGACCCGCCCGACCGGCCGCCAACTTAAAGCCGGGCGAAGCGCGCGTTTTGGTGCGGACACACACGACACGACCGACAACACAAATAGACCGGCTGGAGCTCGGCGCTGGTGTCTTCCGCTTGGCACCGATTAGTCGCAAATCTCGCATATTCCCCACGCACCCAGCTGCCCAGCTTTTCTGCGTCAACAAACCCGCAGACTATCTCAGCTGGGTAAATAAGCAGCCATCCCGATCGACCTGAAGGGCGGTAGAAACAATATTTCCGCAGACGTGTCTTTGGACTCCATCCTTATTAATGGGCACATTTGTGAAAGTAGGACCACCGCCAACTTGGAAGGCGTCTTTGTGTATCTTTTTCAGCTTTGATGTGTGTATCGCAGTGACGAAATTGGTTGTGTTTGTTCGATTATTTTCAATTAGCGATATAAAGCATTTTGCGTGACATAAATGGCAATTACATTACACAGCATCAGACGTTGGTGAAAATTGAGGCTGCAATCAAGAACAGAGGGATCATTCAGGTCTGGAGTGTTGAAGGTCATGCAGTTTTCGCACAACCTCTGGACGCTCGCTTGATGTATTACGCGTTCAAGGTGATGTAAAGCAGCGATATTTGCAGACTTTTTAGTTGTGCTTATTTTTGCAGGCATGAGTATGAGGCTAACAGCTTTTGTTTGTAGCTTCTTCAGCAGTTTCTGATCGCTTCTGTGGTACTGAGGAACCATCGCAATACGCAGAGATGTCATTTCGCAAAATAAGTCAGGAGCTGAGAAGCGAGCAGCGACAAAACCTACCACCAAAATGCGCCAACAAACAAGTTTCTCCCGAATCTGGTGCACTTTCTTCTCACATTTGTCGGGCTGAAGCACAAGTAAGGGGGACAGCCAACAGAAAAGGAAAGCATCCCTGGCCTCACATGTTTCTGAACAGAAACGTTAGTTATTCCATCCCATTACTTCTGCACTTTTGGGCGTCACCTACACCAGGGAAGATCGCGTTGACAAAACGCCATCTATTTCCTGCTTGATCAGCGCTATTGAACAACTTCAGCACCCTGTGTAGCGCTCAACTACAAAGGCGCTATACGTGCGACTGACGCCCGCCATTTTCACACCACTCTCACCATACGACAAGCTCCAACCCAGCAGTATTATTGTTGGCCAACAAGTATTTACGTACATTTCGTCCAACAGCAAGACCACAGTAAATCCCTTTTCCCGTTTATCTGAATGTCACACTTTTAGAAAAAATGTCGGCACCGACGCACATTTTGAGCATCAATGCTTTGCGTCAAATGTAGATCTTACAAATGGTATACACCTCACTCTGATTGCACACTAGTCATAGTAACAGCCGGAGGACAAAATGAACTGAAAGGAAGCAGCTCGGAAATGCTTACTCAGATACGTAACTAAGAATTTATGAAGGAGTGGATGTCAAATTGTGCGTGT